AGGTGGTTCACACTTCCTAGAGGTCATAGTAATTTAGCATATCTTATTTTATACTATCCGTGTCACAAGCTTCTGCATTAATATAGAACAATATTTTTTTTTTTTCTCAGGTATTTCATGTATTGAAGCTGGGGGAAGGTCAGGATATTACAGCTCTCGCTTTGAACAAGGATAACACAAATCTTCTGGTGTCAACTGCAGATAAACAGTTGATAATATTCACAGATCCAGCTGTAAGTTGAATCTTTCTCTATGCTTCAAGTTTGCTTCCTGTTTGTGTGGATTGAAAAAAAAAAAAAAACACTTACTGTCCTCCAGGCTTGATCAAAGTTAACTAGACCCGCAGGTTTTAAAAGGAGACAAGTACACCCATCCGGCAATATGTATTACTCCAAAACATAATAATGGCAAAGTCAAGATATGTGTAGAATAATAAAAAAAGTAAAATTAGACTGATAAAAACACAAATTGAATGACAAAAAAGAAAAAGAAAAAAAATTCTCTATGTTGTCAGTTTCTCTCTCACCATATATATCTAATATATCATTTTATTAGTGTAAAGCTTTATGCTTTTCTCAAATTAATAAATTTATATTTTAGATGACTTATTTTCCCATCTAACCTTTATCAGTATCAAGGGGTTAAACTTAGGCATAAACTTTTTTATTTTTTGTCATCTTAGCTTTATCTTCTGCCAGCAAGTAAACAACATTAAAACTAAGAACTGGAAACAAATACAAAAAAAATGTGTACCTTCACGACACTTTCTTTTTTTCCTCTGTTCTCTCTCTATCAATGTTGCTTTCTTTAAATCTAACACCCTAACATACATCTTGAATTTAAATCAAAGAGGAAATAGGTAGATTGAAGCCTTACCAAAACCGAGAAAACAAATTCTGAAAAAGAAAAAACTTAGGAAAGTCCATTCTTCCTCCAAATCAATCTGCTCACAATATGTTGATTATGAAGTTAAACATCCTCAACATTAAGTGATTAGCATCAAATAAAGCTTAACTTCATCATAAGGACTGTGACACTATGATCAAATAAACTTCATCGTGAGTTTGTTTTTCTATTCCTTGCAGTTGAGCTTGAAGGTGGTGGATCAAATGCTCAAGCTTGGTTGGGAAGGTGACGGGCTCAGCCCCCTTATAAAATCATAGTTTTAGGTCATTGTATTTCACTAGGTTTTTGAAAGATGATTACAGGAGATACTGAAAAGTAGATACGATTAGAACAAAGTAGAGCAAGGGCATGTTGGCTGCCCCGGTTTGGAGATCAGTACAGATTTCTTGGGTCACAGTTTGCAGCTGTCTTTGTGGGTGTAACATATGTACACGGGGAACAACCTATGCATATTATTGCATCATTGAGTTCCAGGCTACCATATTTATCTTGTATTCTTGTGGTGGTTCAATAATTTTTTGGTGGAGTCCACCTCCGAATCAGTTTTGTCTATTAGTTTTTTTACAGATTAGTGAATGAAATTATACAACAGCCATTCATTCTTGTATCTTCTTTGTATATTCTGTATATGACTTGAGTGAGCATATGAACTTTTCTTTTAATGCTATTTTACCTGGATTTTTTTTGTTGAAATTTCCATTATCAGATGAATCTTAACATTTCCATTTACTCCACGTTTGTGAATTTTGGTGCAAATATTGAAATTGTATGGTTCCAGAATAACAACCTCAGATAGTTTTCTATTAAAGCAGTGGTATCAAACGGTTGGGCCGGGCCTTTGTGGGCTATTTCATCAAACGGGTTACGTGGGCTCGGCCCATTGTTAATTTTGATAGGCACAGGCCGTTTGTAAAGCTCAATTAAAATTAGAGTGGTGATATTTGAGCTTCTACCAAATTTATTTGTAAACCCCTTAATAATTAATTTCATTATTTTAAATACAAATAATATTTTATTTTATTCTAAAATTACCCATATTTTATCATTTTCTTTATAAAACTCAATTAAATTTGTTTTTTTAGCTCCACCGTATTAATGCTTATCTTCTTGGGTCAAATTTAATTCATTTTTCATCTTAGATTTGCAGTATGAAATCCATGGCTAGCTAAGGTTAATTTTTTGTTCTTTTAAAGAACATCATGAAATCCACGCTTCCTTTGGTAGGGGTGTTCAAAGAAATGGAAAAACTAAACCGAACTGAACTTTTGGTTATCCGATAAATCGATTTAGTTTCAGTTCAAAGAAATAAAAATACCAAATTTTTTATTCTGTTATCGGTTTCGAAGGATATGGGAAACGGTTAACTGAAACTGGTTTTACCAACCAGTTTATTATAAAAAATATTAAATTAAAATATAAAAAAATCCTGTTTATTATAAATATTAAATTAAAAAATGTACAAAATATAAAATATTAAGTGTTGGTCATGCCGACTGAAATCAAGCCCGATTCAAGAAGCTCGACAAAATCTGCATTCGACGCACAACCTACGAAGTTCGAGCTTGACATCAAATTGAGCAATTAGTCTTCGAAGCTTGAAACGAGTACTGAACACTAGGGGTAAGATGTTGTGTGTGATTTTTTCATCAAGCTCGGAGAAGTTATAGCCCGACCCAGAACCAGTTCGGCTCAAACGATTGTTCGACCCAACATAAGCTTGTCGAGACATAGCTTAACCCAACATAAGCTAGTCGCAACCAATCTCGACAATTGTTCAAACAAATCACAGATAAACTTAGATTCTGAATATTTTGGAAGGGATCAGATCAACAACAATGATGGTGCAATCTCAACACTCAATCGTGAGGATATTGGAGTCTGGAGATACATTCCACTCTTGATTGTAATCCTTTTATTTTTGCTCTTTTCTTTGTACAAAATTTGTATATAAACCCCTTCCAATAATGGAAAAAAGGTTAGCAAATTAGTCTAAATACTATATTGATTTCTTGTAAGCTCACAAAGCAAAATAATAAAACAATGGACGTAGGCTCAAGATCATAATTTGTCAAACCACTTTAAAGAGCCTATTGTGTTATTTACATTACTGCATTCATTTTTATATTTTGCTGATTGTCATTAATCACGCACACACTCGTTCAAATTCCACCAAGGTCAATTGGATTACTTTAGTTGCTATCAATCTCATATCAACAACCGTTTTTGGTTAACCAAGAAATCGGTTTTCCCTTTAACCAGTTTGATTTCGGTTTAAGAAAATTCCTGAACTAAAAAACTGATTCGGTTCACAAAATCAGTTAACCGATCTTGAATACCCCTAAGACCTTTGCAGCATGTTAAATTTTTTTTTTTTTTTTTTTTGTCCGAAACCCATACACGATGGCTACTCTTCCCTCGATAAAGATTTGCACACCAATTACTTATTGGTGGAATCCATGGAGCCAAGCCCAGATCATTCATCATTGGGNTAATTAATTTCATTATTTTAAATACAAATAATATTTTATTTTATTCTAAAATTACCCATATTTTATAATTTTCTTGATAAAACTCAATTAAATTTATTTTTTTAGCTCCACCGTATTAATGCTTTTCTTCTTCGGTCAAATTTAATTCATTTTTCATCTTAGATTTGCAGTATGAAATCCATTGCTAACTAAGGTTAATTTTTTCTTCTTTTAAAGAACATCATGAAATCCATGCTTCCTTTGCTAGGGGTGTTCAAAGAAATGCAGAAACTAAACCGAACCGAACTTTTGGTCATCCGAAAAATCGGTTCAGTTTCACTTCAAAGAAATAAAAATACCAAATTTTCAGTTCGGTTATCAATTTGGAAGGATATGGGAAACAGTTAACCGAAACTGGTTTTACCAACAAGTTTATTATAAAAAATATTAAATTAAAATATAAAAAAATCTGGTTTATTATAAATATTAAATTAAAAATATATAAAATATTAAGTGTTGGTCATGCCGATTGAAATCAAGCTCGATTCAAGAAGCTTTACAAAATTTGCATTCGACGCACAACCTACGAAGTTGAGCTTGACATCAAATTGAGCAATTAGTCTTCGAAACTTGAAACGAGCACTGAACACTAGGGGTAAGATGTTGTATGTGATTTTTTTATCAAGCTCGGAGAAGTTAAAGTTCTACGAGGTTATAGCCCGACCTAGAACCAGTTCGGTTTAAACGATTGTTCGACCCAGTATAAGCTTGTCGAGACATAGCTTAACCCAGCATAAGTTAGTCGCAACCAATCTCGACAATTGTTCAAACAAATCATAGATAAACTTAGATCTTGAATATTTCGGAAGAGATCAGGTCGACAACAATGATGGTGCAATCTTAGCACACAATTGTGAGGATATCGGAGTTACATTCCACTTTTGATTGTAATCCCTTTATTTTTGCTTTTTCTTTTGTACAAAACTTGTATATAAACCATTTTCAACAATGGAAAAAATGTTAGCAAATTAGTCTAGACACTATATTGATTTCTTGTAAGCTCTCAAAGCAAAATAAGAAAAACAATGGATGTAGGCTCAAAATCATAACTTGTCGAACCACTTTAAAAAGCTTATTGTGTTATTTACATTACTGCATTCATTTTTATATTTTGCTAGTTGTCATTAATTACGCACACACCCGTTTTGATTTTGCCAAGATCAATTGGATTACTTTAGTTGGTGTCAATCTTGTATCAACAACCGTTTTTGGTTAACCAAGAAACCGGTTTTCCCTTTAACCGGTTTGATTTCGGTTCAAAAAAATTCTTGAATCAAAAAACCGATTCGGTTCACAAAATCAATTAACCGGTTTTGAACAACCCTCAAACCTTTTGCAATATGTTAAATTTTTTTTTTTTTCCGGAACCCCATACACGATGGCTACTCTTCCCTCGATAAAGATTTACACACCAATTACTTATTGGTGGAATCCATGGAGCCAAGCCCAGATCATTCATCATTGGGCCGTTCTGGGGTCAGACTAGCCCGTTTGACTTGTTTTCGGGAATGACATTTTTTTTCCCTTTGGAACTGGGTGTAGTAACTAGTAACTGGTAGTATTGTAATTACTTACTAGGTTTGTGTTGAGGTCTGAGGGGATTTAGAAAAAAGAGAGATGGGAGGCAAAGGAAGAAGAAGAAGAGAGAAGAACTACAGAGCAGCGCATGGAGGTCCCACCCGACTCCCACCTCCACCTGATCCCTCCCAAGTCGACGCTTTACCTTCAAAACTCCGCAAGCTAATCTCTTTCACTTCTACTCATCAAGGTTGCTTACCCTTTCTTTTCAACTTCTCTTTCTAAAAGCACTTTGCAATTACGTTTACTAATAATTTAATGTTTTTCAGATTCTAACAAGGTTTCAAAGGACGACTATACGAATTTAAAAGTAGACGCTGATGCGGACAAAGTTAGTTCCGACCTGCTCTGCTACTCTAATTTATATGGATGAATGTATAAACTTTGTTTTGATTTTTATTTTTTTCGCTGCCCGTGATGTGTTATGATGAACTAAAATTAATGTGTAGAAGGGCCTTCTGGAGAAAAAAAGGAAATTGGAAGCAACTGGAATCGAAGATGGAGATGCAGATAGCGTTGATGAAATGCCGCAGAATAGCAAAAATGAAAAGGGAAAGAAAAAAAGAAAGAGGAAGGAGATAAAGGACCTGCGATTTGAGACTGAAATAGGGAATTTGGCTACCCGTTCTAAAAGAAAAGAGCGCAAGAAAAAGTACGCACTTCTTACTCTTTATTTTCTTTGATATGATTATGATGATGCTTGATGCTGCCTGTAATCAGTTGCATCTTGTAGTTGTTGGAATGGTTTCCATTGACTTTAATATGCTAAAGATAGTCTAAATTTGATATGAAAGGTGACATTGTCGCTTTGAAAATTTCTTTAGAATTGAATGTGGTTTGTTTTTGGCATCCAACAATTATAGCATCTGCATGAATGCTTGACCTTATTGACTGCAAACTACTAAAAGTTTTAACTACTGGCACAATTTAAGCATATTAAATACTTTATGAGTTCCAGGCCTTAATGGAGGATTCATGTGACCAACTTCGTGTAGGAGGATTCATACACCCAAATGAAGTATAGTGATGCCGAAGGATTCATTTGACCAACTTCATATAGATGAAATTTAGAGTTAGCTTACCCCAAGTTGAATTTGTGAACTTCCCACCCCTCTTTTGAACTAGAATTAATAAAGAAACACTTGATGCAATAGTTTTGACTTTTGTACCCCGTGCCACTTATGAGGACAATATGTTTAGTCTGTGGAACTTAAGTACCTAGTTTGTGATGTGGAGAGACAAATATGAGATGGTAACTGATGGTAAAAACGAAAAGATGGAAAATATTATTCTTTGATGTAGCTGAAAATAATTGATCATAGCCATTTGACATCTTCAAAATGCTTGAGCAGTTTCATGTGTCATTCATCTCAACAAATAATCTGGGTGAATGCAAAAGTGATTTTCTGATGCAGACCTCCTTTTGCATGCTGCATTGTCAAACAGTTAATAATTATGTTGATTCATTTAGGTATTTAGAAGAAAAGAAAAAGAAACACAAGAAAGCTAAAACAGAGGAGGAGCTGGACTTCCCCGGATGTGAGAATATAAAATTCGGAGATGTGGTTGAAGCTCCGCCGAAATTGCTTGCAGTTCCTAAGGTAGTATCATTGGTATTTGATTAATAACTCGAATAACAGTTCTCCTTCAATTTAATGAGAATTTTCTGATCTTTCTGCAGGCAGTGAAGATTGATGCTTCGAAAGAGAGGTTACGTTTGCAGGCAATTGAGTCTTACAGAAATCGCAAAGGATGGAACTCAAGACCAGGGCTTCAGCTTCCTCCATTGACCACATCACAGTCATTATAGTTGGTATCAGCTTAATGCATATGCAACTTATTGCCAAACGTTTTTTCCCTTTTTCCTGCTTCTGTGACTTGATGGCTTTCATCTGTAAGATAGATTGTAGTTGATGGTTCGCAATGAGAAAAAGACAAACGATATATTGATTTCATTATATTGAGAAAATAGTAGAATTTATTGAGTTTTGTTTTCAAGGGTACTGGTGGTTATTATTATAGTTTAAAATTTAAATAGGCCCAGTACACCCGCTAACTATTCATTAGTCTTTTTGTGGCTAGAGGCATTGAATGGAGATAAATTTCATCCATTAAAATAAAAAGAAATCTTTATTTCGATGTTGCATTATGTGATTTTGTGTTTTACGTCCCTCTCTGAAGAGCTGTCTCTGGATCAAGACTAAACTTGGATCCAAAGCATTTGCCTTTTACTGCTAATTGCTTTTAGAGATTAGAATTTAGAATACGTGTGCAACCTCATTACTGGTTGTGAAATTATGTATAAAGGCCTCTATTTTGCTTTAGGGACAGTTTAGTAGGATTGCTAAAAAATTATAGTTAAGCATATTCAATCGGCAGAATCCAAATCAAAAAGGGGTTAGATCTTTAAGATTTAAGACCCATGATTAACCTCAGCTTTAAGATGCTGATAAAAGTGGGTCATGTAGAGGAAAGAAAAACACATAAAAGAGCGCGAATAAAGTGGGTAATAAAAGAACAGCGCGTAAATAAAGTGCGTCATGAAAGGGCACCACCAAATCTGCTAAGCATAAAGAAGCTGTAGTATCAGCTAATAAAAGCTTTTGATTATTTGCAGACTTTATGTCCATTGCTTAATATACAATAGAATAGATACAAAGTTAACTTCCACGTCTTTGGAGGATTCGAACATGGAGGCCTCCATCCATGTGAAGATTAATCATTGTCCTGTAATTGATAATTGCCTTCTCATTGCTCAATTTGAACTCGAAAAAGTGTAACAGGACTGCTGAGAAGATCTTCATCTGCCTATACGCGAATTCCTTCCCGAGACAAATTCTTGGACCCGCCTGTTAACCACCAAAAAATTTAGTTTAGTTTCTACAGCAAAATCAGACTCACCACTAGTAAACCATTCCATCACACATTCTGCTGACCTGGAAGGCTGTAAATTTGAAAGGGCTCTCTTTCTGAAATATTCCATTCTCATCTAACCATCTCTCCGGTTTGAATTCTTCTGCATCATCACCCCAAATGAATTTCATCCTGCCCATTGCATAAGGTTGGTAAGCTACCATATCACCTTTACTCACATTGAACCCATCTGGCAAAGTATCATCGGCAAAGCATATCTTCGCGTCCTGCAAACAAAACAAATTTAAAGGTAACTTTGAAATATGAAAATTGATTCGATTTGGAAACATTATGGTATTAATTGGCTCTTAACCAAATTTTGGAATGTTAATAAGGATGGTAACAATAATATTAACGCCAATAAAGGAGAAAAGGATAATCATTTTTCTTTCTAGGAGAAATAAGATTACCAAAAGCATATGGTGGGATTGGATATAAGTAATACATAGCAATAATATAAGTGGTCAGAATTTTATTTACCACTGGAACAGCAGGATACAGTCTAAGGGTTTCAGTTATAGCTGCATGAAGATAATACATCTGTTCTTGAGATTCTTCAGTAATACTGTCCGCAAACTCAGCAAAGTTTGTATTGTCCTTAACGTTTGTAGCTTCTTTCACTTCTTGTGCAACTTTTTCCTGCACAGCAGGATGCTTGCAGAGCATGTAAATAAACCACGAAAGTGTGGTTGCTGTTGTGTCTTTGCCAGCAATTATGAAGTTTAGAATTATATCTCGCAGATACTTTGGATCAGTCTCAGTTACTTGAAGAAACCTTGATAGAATGTCTTCTTTCTTCATCTGCTTCACCATATACAACATGTTCATACCACAGCTCTATATATCATAACACTTCACATTAAAAACATAAACTGTCAGTTAGCTGACTTACAGAAGAATCATCTTGTGGGTTGCTCATTTGTTCAATCTTGTTACGAATTAGCTTGTATACGAAAGTGTCAACCACTTCAATTTTTTTCTTTAATGTAGCTTCTGATCCAATATTAAGAAACTTCTTGATCTTCCATGAAACATCAACGTATCGAAAGAGGGTCATTGCACTTGCATCATCAAAAGCAGTGCTGAAATGGTCGCCTTCTTCGCTTGATCCACACATGCTGTCTAATTCAACTCCAAAAGCAACTTTGAATATAGAATCTAAGGTCGATTTCATAAACAGAACCTGAATGAATATTTTATATTCAGTTTATATTCTACATCAAAAGGCAAGTCAAAATCTGCGTATGAACATTGAAACTCACTTGCATGTCCATTATCTGATTGGAATTTGCAGCTTCAAACAGAATCTGAGCAAGTTTTGCGACATTTCTCTTGAAAACAACACTGCTAAAGTCTCTCAGAACTTTTGTTGAGAACTCATAGCTAGATAACTTTCGCTGTTGACGCCACTTATCACCATCAACTGTGAAAATTCCATCCCCTAGTAAATCCCTAAGAATTTCGTAATTATACCAGCCCTGCACAAAGGATTGATTACAGAAGCAAAATTTATATAAATCTAGAGCGTTGTATCTGTTTTGAACCTTCTTTTGTAGTAAATAATGAACGCCCATATGTTAATTAGAATTGAAAATCTTAAAAATCAACAGATACATACTTGATGCAGAGTCAAGAAAATAGCTTACCTTGCCATAATTTTCGAAGTTAGTTTTAAGAATATATTCAACATTGGGAGGATAAGCAGTGTAAACCTCATTTCTAAAAGGGGAAATCAACCTGTAAGTCTTATGTTTGGTAGCAAGATCAGTCATATAATGATGCAATCTGTTGAAGTTGAGGAGCTGATTGAATACTGTGCCACCAATTGGATGATACTTCTTCTTTTGCTTCAATTTTCTACCCAGAATTCCAACAGTAAGAACTCCCAGAATTATAGCTAAAGCTGTGATGGAAAGAGGGCTACCCAGGAAGAAATCCATGGAAACCTTGCTCACTAAATGAAGATGATGGATAACGCTTTTCAACTGTTTTCTAAGCATGCGTAAATGGTTTCGAGTTTGATTTATCTAGGTTGATAATTGGGAAGAATTTATCCGGTTATATTTTAAGATCTCAAAATATTAATCCAGGTAGGTGGAAATTGTATTAATTCAGGTAGCTGGAAATTGAATTCAATCCCTTGTTCAAAAAAAAAAATTCAGTTGTGGCACTGGCTCTTGACATTTAGTTATTAACTGTAGGGAGAACGACTTACACATACCTAAGGTTTATCGTAATGATAAGTTGATATCCAAAAAGTTTTAAAATGATAAATAGGTATTTTCCGTCATGTTCTGTTAGTAATTTCTGTTTATTACTGTTAGTAGAGTGAAAAGACTAAATGCCCTTAAAGTTTGAATTTTAGTTTTTTTATAAATTTAAAAATTTCTAAAAAAACCCTTAAGTTTACAAATTTAACTAAATACCCCAATATTAAAAATTTTGTAAAATAACAAAAAACACCCCCACCCGCAAGTGCCAGATTCCCGCCACCACCGCCGGTATCTGGCCGGAAAGTTACGTTACGACACAGACCCGCGGATCTGTGTCGTAACGCGTCGATCTGGCCTTTTCTAGCCAGATCCTGGCTGATCTGCCGGAAAAGGTCAGATCTATGGCTAGATCTGGCCGTCACGCCGCAAAACTCCATCTGCGGCTTCGACGCCAGATCTGGCATTAGATCTGGCCTTTTTCGGCCAGATCAGCCACGATCTGGCCGGAAAAGGCCAGATCTGGCTGCTGCTTCGACGGCCAATCTTGCCTTTTCGGCCAGATCTGTGGCGGATCTGACCGGAAAAGGCAAGATCGGCATGTTACGACCCAGATCAGATGGATCTGTGTCGTAATGCAATTTTCCGCCAATTCCGCGATGGGGCCGGAATCTGGCACTAGGGGTGGTGGGATTGGTGTTTTTGTCATTTAACAAACTTTTTATATATGGGGGTGTTTAATTAAATTAGCAAACCTAGGGGGTTTTTTATAAATTTTTAAATTTATAAAAAACTAAAATTGAAACTTTGAAGGGTATTTTAGTCTTTTCACTATTAATAAACAAAAATCACTAACAGAACATGACAGAAGGTACTTATTTGTCGTTTCAAAATCTTTTGGGTATCAACTATCGTTACGGTAAATTTTGGGTATGCACAAGTCGTTTGGCCTTAACTGTACTTTTAAGATTTAATTACGTGGATCCCTTCCATGATTTAAGAATGATATAACACGTGTCTGAACAGTCAGAAAAATATCTAAATTCAATTTATGATACAGTGAGGTAGCGTGTATACAAATTAATGTGATCTGTCGTGCCGTGTTAAATCGTGCTGGATCCCGTGGTCGTAACTCAATATCATAGGCAAACGAGATATTAGTAAATTAAGTCAACCACAATCCATGGGCCATAATGTGTCAAGTTGAAATAGATTTAACCATAAAATTATTACAGTATCTTTCTAGATTTGATACATTCAAATCCATCAACTTCTCCTTTTAATCGCGCGAAGATGGAGGCTTCCATCAATGTGAAGTGTGAACATTGTCTTATAAGTTGTGATTTTGGCGTCATCAGCTAATTTGAAACGGAAGAAGCGAAGAAGGGCCATTGATATTATCTTCATTTGCCGGTAAGCGAAACCTTTCCCTAGACAAATTCGAGGACCACCCTGTAAAAATAGAAAGAATTATATATATATATATATATATATATATTAAAGTTTGTTTGACCAGATCACATATATTGTAATAACCAAGAAACTAGGGAACTTAATATAATACGAACATGAAAAGAGACAAATTTGAAAGGTGATTGGGGTTGAAAAATTCCATTCTGAATCCATCTTTCAGGACGAAATTCCTCAGCATCATCTCCCCATATATAAGGCATTCTAGCCATGGCATATGCCGTGTAGTAAACTCCATCTCCTTTTTTAACTCTAAACCCATCAGGAAGGACATCATCAATTTCTGCACATTTTCCATCCTGATATAGCAAACATACAAGATTATTGTCTAGAGAAAACTTATGGTAAAAACCTGTAGTCAAATTTATGTATGAAAATAAAATTTTACCAGGGGAACGGCAGGGTATAGCCTCATGGTCTCTGCCAATGCTGCATGAAGATATTGCATTCTTTCAATTGTTTCTTCCGTAATAGTTGCCACAAAATCGTCAGGGTTGGTGACTTCGTATCCTTCATTCTCGGTGATGTCTCTCACTTCTTGTACAATCTTTTCCTGTACAGAAGGATTCTTGCAGAGCATGTAGAAGAACCAGGAAAGAGTGGTGCCACTAGGATCTTTGCTAGCGCATATAAAATTCAATATAATATCCCTTAGATATTTATCGTTCATTTTCTCCGGATCTTCTTCACTCGCCACCAAAAATCTTGAAAGTAAGTCTCCTTTTTGATTCTTTACATTAAAAACATAAAACAAAATTTAGAAGGAATTACTTTAATGCCTAAAACTCATAGTATTAGAAGCACACTAAATAACGCTTACATAATCTTGTTGTACGGCGAGAAGATTCCTATTTTCGTTAATGAGTTTGTTCACAAACCCATCAATAACTTTAAGATTATCACTAATAGAAGCTTCAGAACCGATATTGAGAAGCTTTTTTAGCTGCCAGAATGGATCTTTGTATCGTCCATATACTAAAGCATTTGATTCGTCAAAGGCTTTCATGAATATAGTCCCCTCTTTGCTTGACCCATCCAAGCAATTCAAATCCACTCCGAATGCGACTTTAAATATCGAGTCCAAAGTGAACTTCATCATCATATCCTGCAAAAGAAAAAATATTGTTATAGAATTAATTAGGTAGTCATGTGCAATCAAATATTATGAAGAAAACATATAGATAAGATTACTTACTTGCATATCAAAGATCCCACCCGCAATAGCAAATTCCGAAACTGCATTGACCACCTTCACAGTGTTTGTTTTAAACACAGAAGAACTGAAATCTTGAAGATCTCTGGTTGAGAACTAATGGCTAGCCAACATCCTCTGCTGCCCCCACTTTTCTCCATCCACGTTAAATATCCCTTGGCCAAAAAGATCTTTCATAACAAGTTGATTATACCCACCTTTTGAATATTTATCAAATTTCTCTTGTAGTACATGTTCTATGTTCCTAACGTCGGTCGTGTAGATTTGGCTTGCTGCCGGAGCAAGAAAGCGAAAAGTTGGTTGTTTTCTGGCAACTTGAGTGTGGTAGTCATAAAGTCTGTTGTAATAGAAGAGCTTGTGAAAGACTGTACCGTATACTGGTGCATAACTAGGGTCTCTGAAAGATTTGCCATAATAGGATTTGATTATGAGATAAGAGAAGCGTAAAAGGAGAGAGAGAATTGACAATGCAATGAAGGCAAAGATAGCAAGGATGATACCCATTTTTTTCTTTTTCCAGTTGTGAATGAGATGAGATGGATGATCTTGGTTATATATGGAGCTGGTTCTAACTCACCTTGGTAATCCACATGTATCGTAACTTAGCTATTAAGTTAAAACCTGGATTATTGATACTCTCCATGTGTTACAACAAGATCAAGAGCATCTTGAAGTTGGCTAAGTAACATTCTATAAAAGAGGAGAGCGAATACATAACGGGACTAAACATACTGTTATGCCCGGGAAAATAAAGGGCTGACATGGGAAAGTCACGTTAAGGGTGACCTGCTCCCGTCAGGGCAACACGCACACGTCAGACCTGCAAAATAATATGGAGCTCACACGCGTCCATTCCTCTGCAGCAAGTCGTGCGAAGTCAGCTTGGAAAAAGGAAAATGGGACGAAAAGCCGGATTATATCCTGACAATCACACCAACCCATGGATTTAATGATGATTACACGCTTCAGTTTGAAATAAAAGGAAGAAGACCCCTCCATTAGGGGGATTCGGCCATTCTTTACAGGAAACAACTCTCTCTCTCTTGTAAAAGAAAACCATTACTTTCATAACTCTCATGTACGTCAGTCCGCCTCGCGACCTGACCCACACTATATCAATACAATCAGTGGACGTAGGACTTTCTACCTTAGCATCCGAACCACTATAAAGTCTTCTTTGCATTTATTCCACTTGATATATCCATTATCACGTGTATTAATTCATCAATAGTGATACCCACGTGACAATTGGTTGGTGCCGAAAACGAGCATCAACAGTTTGGCGCTAGAAGGAGGGGCTGATTTAGCGTCTACCCTCCAGGAGAATCTTTGACCTACTGGTCTTCACTACTACATAGCCCACCAATCTGAACCTGAGCAGGGGAACCAACAGCTGAAGGAGTCCCCCCAGCCCGAGGGACACCCCTTCCACCAACCTCCAGTTTCGCAAAATGCTGTTGAATACCCCAGCAGCTCTGCAACGGACCCTGCCATCAAAGCTACCTGGAGAGGTTCGACCAATACTTTCCAATGGTCAACCAGAGGTTGGACCATCTGGACCAAGGCATGTCATCTACGACAGCCGAGCGGTACAACCGCCAAAACGCCTGCAGGTCGCGCGAAAGCGCGGCAAAGGGCGATAGCCCGTGCCGCGAGCACTGCAGCGCGTAAACGCAAGGGTAAGCAAGTGGCAAAAAGTAAGCCTACGGCGCTCCAAGGGCTACGAATACAAAAGGCGCCCCGAGCAGGGTGTCGGCAAAGCTGAGACTCGGTGAAAAAGTGATCTCGAGCTGTCCCATACCACGTCGCAAGCAACCCGACCGAAAATGTAGGGCCGATGATTCCGATCACCACCACAGAACGATCCCGATCGTTCTCATCGGGTGGCCTCCATACCTCGCGGGCGGTTTCCTACCACCGCGAGGGTCGTGAAAATGCCCCGCACATACATCGCCTCACACGCCTCTAGTCCGTGTGTCGAGCGCGGTTGGGAATACCAGCCGAGGCGAGGAGGGATCCGACCTCCGAACTCTCCTGAACCGCAACCGGGAAGGCCGGGCTCGCATGGGTGAAAACAACCCAGGTATGGCTCCGTTA